ATGCAGTCAATAGAGTGTAATATCTTACTTCCGCTTTCCTAGTGAATAAGTGAGTAAATGCACACATATGCAAAATACATACATACGCACATATGAAAGTGAATAAATTATTTTTATATATGGTAGCGATTAATTGCATTCTGCCTGTGTGATAAAGCGACTAAAAGGGTAATATGTGGTTGACACAAAAATTTCCCTTTGAAATATACCTAGGAAATGGACGTTTACTTAATTTAGAACTCACTCTGCATTCGATTACCCGTCTATCTAAGTTAACCTATTAACTTAGTCATAGCCTGTGATCTGCCGCATACAAGCAGCGCTGAGTGCAGAGAAATTTCAATCTCAATTAAAAAAATGTTAAACACCTTTACGCTTAGCTTACATTCTTACGTGCAGGTCATAGCACACATCGATCGGGAAAATATTGATGCAAAAATAACTAATAACAATCCAACAGCACGCCCGCAGTTATCACCTAAATTATCGATTACTATACGTTTTCTTAAAGAGTCAGCGTCCAGGCAGTGAAGACATGTCGTACAGTAATCGGCACAAGAACGACACAGTTGGGCAAACCTAACCTTTAAATACCTTATATCACTTCGCCTAGTGTACAATTAATTATTCATTTGCCGGCGTCGTAAGAGCTCAAAAGGTGAACTAGCATCGTCTTAACTTGGTCACGGTAATTCTTTAGTTGTTCTTCATTTATTTTCGTCATAGAACACCAAAAAAATTACATCTCCTTGCCTTTCATGGTAAGCCTTGCAGAGGAAAGAGTACAATGATGATTCTAAACAGAAAAAACGAACCGACAAGCTTGGCTAAACTGATTCAGAATCTGATACTGATCAATAATAGTATACTTTATGGAGCTTCTCTCCCCCTACATGAAAACTTCCAACGGGCATTGCTGGCGCTGCCTTTAGTTAAGATAACAGTACACTACAGTTCAAAAGTACAGTGGTGGCGACTAGCTATGTCACCGAGGAAGCTAGCAGTCGGTGTATCGAATACTTGTGATCATGCAAAAATTTTACAAACACTTCTCTTTCCAGATGAAGAAGCAATAGCAATATAGTCAAATTTTCCGCATATATGTAAAATGGCGTCCACTGGCGAATTAGCTCTTCTTAACAATTCCTTCGATATGGGTACCAAATAAATAGACCTAGGGAAGAAGTAATGAATTTTAATAAAAAAAACTATATACTTAAGTAATCTTTTTTTGAAAGAATTAGAAGTTGGAGAATAAATTTTGTCCCAGCGGCTGCTATGTGTCTATATAAAAAAAATATTTTAATTTATTTTAAAAAAAACCTCGCGCGTTTAGGTGTCAATGGCTATGCCTTACTTTTCTACCTCGTATGTTACTGCTTTTCTTTCTCTCTTTCTTTCCATCTCTCTCTCTCTCTCTCTCTCTCTCTCTCTCTTCAGTATAGCTAAAAAGTTAAAATTCGTCCAAGATATTATACGTTTCATATAATCTTTGCGGAAAAGCACATTTGTTGGCTCTTGTCCAAATATCTTAAAAACGAAGTTACCACACGAGCACACATACGCGCATAAGCATAATCATTCATAATTTCAAAAATCCAAGGAAACCAAGGAACCAAAGAAAAGCCAAGCAAATACGGACGTGAAAAACTTTGCTAACACCATCGCACCTAATCTTTATACATTTTCCTTATCATTATTTCCCCTTTTTTAAACATTTTCTTTTATAGGGGAAAATTTTTTCTAAGCAGAAATGCGTATTATTTATGTAAGAAAGCGACAGATATTTTGTTTAGCAATAAACATTATTTGCAGTGTACGAGTTTAGCTCGGCCTAAAAACAAAAAAGTATGTGAAAATTCTTCATTCACAAAGCGATCATGATAGTATATAAATAGAAATTAATTTCACGTTTATCAAATACTGAAAGAAGAGGAAGAAGAAGAGAAGAAACCACTGCACTCTACGTGCTTGAGCTTGCCCATTAACCTTTCATCCTAGACGTGTATGTGTGTGTGGGTGAATTTTTAAAGTTATCCAAAAATGCAGAAGCTCTTGTATTCACTTGATATGCATACTTTTACGATTTTATGGTTTTATATTGAAAATACAACAAGTAAGAAAATTAAATTCGGTCGGAGCCGAATCTCTTATACCCATCACCGTTTACCCCAAAAACAGCCAAAAGAAATAAAAGAACAAAATTCTCATGCTCTATAATATAGAGTGGGCGCAGTTGGTTTCTTCTATTTTTCAAAATAAGAGTTTTTATTGTAGCGGCATGTGGGCAGTGTAGGCGTGTCCTTTGAAAAGTTTAGGTCAATTCCAAATTCTTTTGCAAGTTTGTACGCAATATCTTCATTTTCGCTGACGAGAGAATGTTTACCACAAATACTACGAAGTTGCGCAAACAGCCAGATAGACAGATGAACAGGCGGACATGTGTGAGTGCATTCCAAATTTGAAGCTGGCCAGGCATGTTCTTCGACCGATTTAGCCCATTTTCAATACCAATCTGCGTGCAAGAACTTCCGCTCTTTCTGCCAAATTTGAAGTCGATAGCTTCATTTTTGTGACCAGGAGAATGTTTACACAGACGGACAGACGGTCAGAGAGGCGGACGGACAGATTGGCATGCTTAAATCGATTTAAAATTTGATGCTGATCAAGAATATTTACACTTTATGGGGTCTCTCTTATGTCTTCCCTCTGTCTGTTGTTTCAATAAAATGAATATACCCCTCATTCTTGGGTAATGTGGGATACAGAAGTGATACAGAACGAAAAATATGCCTTTGTATGAAAACAAGATATAATATCCGTTATTTTATAGCGCAGAAAATTGCAAAATTGTATTGGGCGAAGTTGTGCACAGTATTTAAAAGACAATGCCTAATGTGTTTTCGTCTCCTAATAGCTCTTCTAACTTTCGTATTTTTCGAACAACTTCGATTTACCACACATAGAACAGATCGAGGACAGACATTTTAAATCGAAACAGGATTTGATAAATTCGCTTTAGCGCGATCTGGCATCAATATCGTAAGATTACCATATCCCCGTTCTTAGGAGATATATAAGTAAATGTAAATAAAAACAAATTAAAATGCAATCTATGGGCAAAGTTGACTATTAAGAGCCCTACACCACTTTGCCAACTACGTTTTACGTTTAAGTATTTTATAAATATTAGGAAATTTATATCTAAAGAGATTACTTTTGTTTAAAAACCCTTACATCGGAGGAGATTTAAACCCGTTTCAGAGATAGTATTGCAAATTTATATGCCAAATGACTGTTCCTGACCAATTTCCATCACAAAACACTGGAAAATATTATAATTTTTTAGGAACCCTTCTGTGAAAGGACGTTCAATACATTATCCCATCCGATTCAAATTTTCCGAATTCGTTTATTATGGCAAACCGCTACGATTCACAGATTCTTGAAATATTTGAAATGATTTATAAGTTTAATGAATATATATTCGGATTTCAAAAGACAGACAGGCGTGTAGGCTTAAATCGATTCAATGAAGATTTCAAACTTGTAGGTACATCTAATCGTCCAAAAATGACAGAGCAGTAATGACAGACCGTTTCATTTCCTACGCAAATATCAAACTAATTTCAATTATTTCAGTTTGAACTTAATATAAAGATAAGATATCTTATGTTTCACAACATAATTATAGGAGACATTGAAAAATGGTCAAATCAGGTTTTTCAGAACTTAGCAACAAATTCAAATTTTGTCGAGTTTTCAACCCTATTTTATAAACGTATATCTTTTTTGCGGGTAATATAAATCCAAGTGATACCTATAAGCGAGTCTATGTTTAGAGAATAGTTTACACAAAAATTGATAATTAATTGATATATTTTAGATGATTTTTATCGGTTATATACATATGTTATAGGTGAAAAGAAAAACGTGAACACGCACACATGCATCCGCGCAAATAGCAAACGTAGTTTGATTTCCACTCTTACAGCAAAATCATACATGTGATTAAACTTTTTTTAAAGCGAAAATATTTTTTATAAACATAATTTTCTGGCCAAGTGCCACACTTTTTCCAACTGGACCTTGTTGCCGTTTTACACAAGAAACATAATTCCAGATAATTCGTGCAAAAAAAGATATTGGCTAAATAGAACTAGAAAAGCAACTGAAAAGTACAACAAATAATATTAAAAAATTCTAGTTAGAGTTCACTTAAGAATTTATTTAATGCTTACACATTTTAAGTTAGTAAAAATGTTATAAAAAATAAATTATTGTTTGAAAAACCAAACTAAATTGCCCAAAAATACATTACGTCTTTACACTATGCATAATTCGGGGAATCCCACTCATATGCGCATATATCCAATATAATCTAATTGAATTGGGAAATATAACGCGAAGTTACAATGCATGTTTGTAAGAGGTGAAGATGAAAAATTTAAAGAAACATCTAAAAAGAAAAAAATGTATAAAAAAATCTATAGTATTTGAAAATCGTCTTAAAACAAAACAATTCATGTAAAAAAAAATTTTGTCTTCTTAACTCGTGTTAAATCGAATTTCGTGTAAAAAAAAATCCATGAAAAAAGAGAATTCGCTGTACTTCCTCCTTGACAATTAGTCGCAGTACCAGTTAACAATATTTAATGTCGCCTCATCGTTTTAAAAGTCTCTTTTAGTTTTAAATTTTTAAACAAATAAAAATATGCTATAGGATTCTAGCAGTTTTGTCCGAATAATTGCGTCTTGCTTATAGAAACACAACTGCATCTTTTGCCAATAAAGCTGCACGCTACGCTGAACCGGTGCATCCAATCAATTCGTCATAAATTAAAAAAATATTATCATAAACATATTCGACTTATTATACCAACAAAAGCATTTAAATATCTAATGATTATTGCAAATATGATTATTTATTTTCAGATCCCACAAGTTTTCTGTTTGTTAAGCATAGATTGATTACTTCTCTTGCCAGAACAGCTGACCGTTACATATGTTTCTTATTCATAGTTGTTCAGCAATCTTTACCTTGTAAGAAATAAATTTGCAAGCAAATCAAAGATATAGATTTAGATGATTTCCTTGCAATGGTTAATGTTATGAAAGGCGTTCTCGTGGAGTGGTAAGTTTGGGCAAGAAATATAAAAGTGTAATTTATTTAATTTACGGATTTTCACATTTTTCTGCAGCGATCCTGCTATGAAACAATTTTTGCTACATCTGGATGAAACATTAGCTTTGGGCCGCAAATTTATTATCCAAGACTTAGACGAGAAGCATCTCTTCATATCTACTGATATTGTAGATGCGCTTCAGGCACGCGTCGATGATTTAATGGATCGCATTAGTTTCCCCTTACACGAAAAAGATCCATAAATTACTGACCGCATTTTATAAACTAAACCATGGCTGGCGGTCGAGAATCTTATCGAATAAAAGATGCTGAAAAGAAACGTGTCCTCGATGAAGCTGCCCGACAACGACGTGCCCGTAAGGCTCTAGAGGCTTTAGAGCAAGACAATTTCCATGAAGATCCTCATGCGGATTTGGTAATGTCCAAGAAATTACCTAAATTTCAAGATGGCTTGAAAAATACAAAAGAAAAGAAATCAAAACGCAAAGGACCTGAATATTATCGCGCGAAATATCGTAAAAACTTTCAACAGCTACTGGAAGAAGAAAAACAATTACATCCCGATCCACCGAATTATAGCAGCGCTTTGGCTCCGCCTCCAAAAACGCCGCAGCGACATTTTTGTGCCGTCTGCGGTAACTTTTCCAAATATTCTTGCACAGCTTGTGGGACACGTTATTGTTGCATACGATGCTTAAGCACTCATCAGGACACCAGATGCTTAAAATGGACAGCCTAAATCATTATTAATTTTCATCTTTCCAATAACTCATTGCATATAAATTTTTACAACTGAATAAGTTTTCTATTTTCTTTTTCCTACGAACTAATGTATAGAAGTGTGGCAACATTAATAAATATTCTATTTGTCAAAGAGTGGTAACAATATCAATAAATATTTTGCATAGAAGATATTATTTGTGTTCTTTAGTGACTTATCAGTCAAGAATTGAAATCTTCCAGCTAAGAAGGCTGAAGATTATAGATCGCGTGTTATTAATTATACATTGTTAGTTATTATATTTTTATTAAAATTTTCGTTGTTTTATAAACTACGTAATGGCCGCAACGTTGCGATTATTGAAAACTCAGGTGAGTTTCAGATGCATTAACGAACGCTTTGATATGAAGGCCAAATGTATACTTATATAAAACAGACAAGATAATAAAATTATTTAGACGTTTCAAGATATTTTCATACTTTTAAAAATTCTCTGTAGGAATTTAGGGCGAATTCTAACCTTAAATATGTTGGTTATCTAACCAAGTGTCTTTTTTTTTATTTGCGAATGAGTACCGTGCTAAGGGGTAGGGTGAGGAAAAAATCTCAACGTTATCGAATAAATTAAGTGCCATACAATTAAAGATAAAAATTGTTAAGCGAAAACTTTTCCCTTTTTTCTCTCGGAATTACATTGTTAATGTTTACGGACCTTTAAGGTTTTATCGGTCGCATTGCTTTTTGTTTGTGCCAAAATTGTAAAAATAAAATGCATTCGCTTTCAGTTGACGTATTATTGGCCAAAACAGATTATTTTGTTTCGTCTTGGTTCACTTCCGATTGTAAACAAAACTATTTGTAAAATTTGAACAAATAAAAGGCTGCAAATCTTCTGCCTTATCATTATTAATATATAATGTGTTGCGATAAAACTGCACATAGCTGGAGATATTCACACTTAGTAATTTATAGAGCAATTGAAATTAATTAAAGAATTTTTAATTCATTTACATAATTCATAGTTAGTTTCTTTAATTATTATTAAACATATTGCGTCCCTTTTGAAAGACGTCAAGTTTATTGATAAACTTGTGTACTTTTTTTGGTCTTACGGTTCTCGGTTCACGGTTTTGATGCTCAATGTGGTCAAAGTCGAAACTGATTAAGTAAAATAAACAAACGTTCATTTTATAATTTATTAAAACACTTCTCCCGAGTATCTGGCAGCCATTTCTAGTTATATTTAACCATTTAATATAAAAATGAAAGTTTGCCAAAGTTACTTTGTTTATGGATTGTGTAACACACGTACATACGCTCATGCATTCTCTGCTTTGCTCGGTAGACGATAATTAGTTAAGTAAACCATATCACAGGTATTGCACTCATCTATGCCATCAACAAGTAATAGAATTGTTTAAATGCATTAAGTTCTCTTTTTCCAGATACGAAAGGCAGGTTATTATGGAGTAGACGGTCAATTGCGACAATTTCATGCCTCTGGGTATGCAGCCTCGAAAGTGGCCATATCTAAATATGATCCTGACGTATGTTTGCCATATGACAAATTATGGGAAAATTTGGAATGCATACGATCTCGTATAAATCGTCCCCTTACCCTATCGGAGAAAATTCTTTATTCACACTTGGATGAGCCTAAAACACAACAAATTTTACGTGGCACTTCATATCTGCGGTTGCGTCCCGATCGCGTGGCGATGCAGGATGCCACCGCTCAAATGGCTTTATTGCAATTTATTTCTTCTGGCTTGAAAAGAGTTGCCGTTCCTTCAACCGTTCATTGTGATCACTTGATAGAAGCTCAAATTGGAGGTAAAAACGATTTAGCTCGAGCAAAGGATTTGAATAAAGAAGTTTACGACTTTTTGGAGAGCACGTGTGCGAAGTATGGTTTGGGTTTCTGGAAACCGGGTAGCGGTATTATTCATCAAATCCTTTTGGAGAATTATTGTTTTCCCGGCCTTTTGATGATCGGTACTGACTCGCATACTCCAAACGGTGGTGGTTTAGGTGGCTTATGCATTGGTGTGGGTGGAGCTGATGCTGTCGACGTAATGGCTGATCTTCCCTGGGAACTGAAATGTCCTAAAGTAATTGGGGTTCGCCTTAGTGGAAAAATAAGCGGTTGGACATCACCCAAAGATGTCATTCTGAAGGTAGCAGATATTCTTACCGTTAAAGGTGGAACGGGTGCCATTGTTGAATATCACGGTGACGGCGTTGATTCTATATCATGCACTGGAATGGGTACCATTTGTAACATGGGCGCAGAAATTGGTGCTACCACTTCCGTCTTCCCGTTCAATGAACGCATGGCTTCATATTTGAAGGCAACCGGACGCAAAGCTATTGCCGACGAGGCGAGAAAATATCAACGAAAATTGTTATCACCAGATGACAAGTGTGCATACGATAAACTTATCGAGATCGATTTAAGCAAATTGGAACCGCATATTAATGGTCCATTTACACCAGATTTGGCCCATCCGATAAGCAAACTAAAGCAAAATGCCGAAAAAAATGGTTATCCTATGGATATCAAGGTTGGCTTAATTGGTTCCTGCACAAATTCTTCATACGAAGATATGGGCCGTTGCGCGAGTATTGCCAATGACGCCATGGAGCATGGTCTTAAATCAAAAATTCCATTCAATGTTACACCTGGCTCGGAACAAATACGAGCCACCATTGAACGTGACGGCTTATCTCAAGTGTTTGATAAATTTGGTGGTACCGTATTGGCCAATGCCTGTGGCCCCTGTATCGGTCAATGGGATCGCAAAGATGTAAAGAAAGGTGAAAAGAACACCATAGTCACATCATACAATCGTAATTTCACTGGTCGTAATGATGCGAATCCCGCCACCCATGCCTTCGTAACTAGGTAAAAATAAAAGAAAAATTGAAAACAATAAAATTCTTAAAAACTTCCCTATTTTGCAGTCCGGAATTAGTCACCGCTCTATCTATAGCCGGTACTTTAGCTTTTAATCCTCTAAAAGATGAGCTGACTGGTTCTGATGGCAAAAAATTCAAATTGAAAGCTCCGTTCGGTGCGGAATTGCCCGCTAAAGGTTTTGATCCTGGTATGGACACTTACACAGCGCCGCCAGCAGTAAGTTTTTTTTTATTAAGCAAAAATTTAAATTTTGTAAAGTGAATGTAGTAATTTTACACTAATTTAGGATGGGTCCAATCTCACAGTTAGAGTTGATCCTAAAAGCCAACGCCTTCAAATATTGGAACCTTTTGACAAATGGGATGGCAAGGATCTAACCGAAATGACTGTCCTTATCAAAGTAAAAGGAAAGTGCACCACTGATCATATATCCGCTGCAGGACCCTGGCTCAAATTCCGCGGACACTTAGATAATATCTCTAATAATATGTTTATTGGCGCCACCAATATTGAAAATAATGAAATGAATAAAATTAAAAACCAACGCACTGGCGATTGGGGTGCTGTGCCCGACGTGGCCCGAGACTATAAGGCTAATGGCATAAAATGGGTGGCTGTAGGTGACGATAATTACGGTGAAGGTTCTTCTCGCGAACATGCCGCTTTAGAACCACGTCACTTAGGTGGACGAGCTATAATTGTGAAGTCGTTTGCCCGCATTCACGAAACCAATTTGAAAAAGCAAGGTCTCTTGCCACTTACCTTCGCCAACCCCTCCGATTACGATAAGGTATTTATAAAGCACATAATAATGTAATATAATATATGTTAACAATTGAACGGATTGTTTGCGATAATTTACAGATACAACCCTCTAGCAAAATTTCTCTGCTGGATTTAGCTAATTTAGCCCCTGGCAAATCGGTTGAATGCGAAGTTAAAACTGACAATAAAGTAGAAAAAATTAAATTGAACCACACCTTGAATGAACAACAAATTGCCTGGTTTAAGGCTGGCAGCGCTCTAAATCGCATGAAAGAATTATCTGGTAACCAAGAATAAATGTGATATAAGAAAAAATCTCTTTCTAAGATTTATCCCAGCACTTTCATAAAGTTCACCACCAACCGTTGCATAACATCTTATTTTAACAAAAAGCATGTGTGACTAGATTTTCATAATCCATTCTTTTTTCTCATTGTGATTATATTTTCGCTGTATTTTAACATGTATTTTTATGTACATTTGAATGTTTTTGTATTAAGTAAAATAAACTTATTTTTTATACATAACTTCTATTCTGCATTATTAGGATAAGAAGCTTATGCGCGCTTCGCCCATGTTATGATGACCGAGAAGCTACTGCACAACCGCATAACTGGTAACGAAATCGTCGTCAGCCGTACGTGAGATACTTGTGTTGTTTAAAAAAAAAAGGATAAATATCTAAATAATTACGAAATAAAGCGAAGCACAATTGATTGATTGATTGAAATGCATACATTTATAATTAATATACAATCTACTTACAAAAGTATCGGCGTAAAATTATATATTATATTTAACGTAAGATCAATAAATCGGTAAAGCTATACATCCCGTAATAAAAAACGCATCGTAAATCACATGCAAGTAATTAACACGTGGTAGACTGTTCTAATTCTTGGCTTATTAGGACCTGGATTACCAACGTTTTGTATACAAACCCTCTTTTATTGAAAATCCCTATTTTAAGGGTTTCTTCCACTTTCCAAAGTGCGAATCGAACTAAAAAATGGACTGATATGCCTACAAAAATGTCCCCTCCCGACTGAGAAAAACAAAGTATATATATGTATATATTGATATATATTAGAATAAAAGTAAGTTTTTGTCTTCCCCTAAATCTCCTAAGATATTATATGTATTTCTATAGAGTGATGGACTTCGCTCATAAATCTATACTTGATAAATTATTTAGTTAAGATCAACTGGATTTTGTAAGGAACATCTATAAGCTAGCTTCAAATCTGTTATTATTATTATAATTTTAGACTAATGAAATAAATTCTTAGGCTTAAAAAAAAGACATTCAGCACTAGCAGTACAGGCTATCGGCTCTAATTTATAAAAGTACATTAGATATTGAGCTTTGTAGTTTTGATAAAATAATATATTGTACTGATATTCGGTTCTGTAGCTGATTGTAGAATGTCCATAGGGTTAATCGTTCCAAACGCAATACATCTAGCCAAGGTAAAGTTTAGGCAGTCACAGACAATGTGCTTTATAGTGAAAATTTGTCCACAGTTCCAGATTGTGGAGGAAGACTTTTTAAAGATTCATTGGAGAGTTGCAAGGCGACCAAGGCGAAATGTCGAAAATGTTTGGATCTTGATTTTCTCAACATTTGTTGGATATAAAGGTGGAGTTAATTGAGGGTTAATAAAAGAGCAGTGCTGATGATGGTATTGTGGATAACCTTCTGTAATTTTCTCTTTAACTTTTTTTTTAACTTTGAATCTTCGAAGATCCAAATTTTCCACAACATCATCCATAATTACAGGGGCAGAAGCAGCATACTTCGCCGCTCGATCAACCTGCTGATTTCCCAACAGACCGATATGACTAGTTACCCATATTTTAATTTTTTCGCCGGGTTTTGTAATGATATTCCTTAATTCAAATCTAAAACTATACAAGCACCTTCAACGCCATTCGCTTTATTCTCTATCTGTACGTTACTAAGCTCAGTCCTGCTTTTTGTTGCGCCGACTTCAATCCTACGAATCTAATCTTCCTTACTAAGTAGCCAATCGTCTTGATTAGGCTTTTATCCATTATGCGGTATATACATATCATATACACATCGAAATCTTTTCGACTTTATACTTCACAATGTCTCTAATCTTGTAAAAGTTAATAAATTATGTGGTACCGATAACAAATGTGTCGAAAATACCTCGAATTTCAGGAAATGTCGCATCGGGCTTTTTTGAAGCATGAATTTCAGCACATTCGTGGCAGGTGTTGTCACTTTTCAACTTTTCGGTTAATTTCAAAATGCGAACATTTGGGTTCAATCGGTTTTCGGTGAATGTCGAAACTGTTATAACATTTTTTACGTAAATGGTGTAGAAAACCTACCGAATGCAACAGCTATCTGCCTTTTTCTCGAATTTTTCACCTACATTCATCTATACATCGCCACCCAATGGACATTTTTAAATATTGGACGACGCTGAAACACCCGGCTCTGGTTTCGAACTTGCAACGCATTTCTCCGTTTGGTATGTGTGCGTATGTATATACAGAAATGTTTCTAAATATTTAACAAAGATCTTAATACTTCCATTTGCTCCTGTTTCAATGGAGTAAACTGCTTAGCTTAACTAACTAGTGGAAATTCCCATAAGTAAGTTTAGAGTTTTTAGGATTTTGGAATTTTCCCAACATTCTTAAGAAAAGCAGCGAAATGACTACCTCTACAGGTTTTATTAGTTTTTATATTTATTAATGAAAAAAAATTCTCATCACTACACATGCACTGCACTATAGCGATACTGCCTTCCGTCCGTTGGATGAAATACATGTCTTAATCATCGTTAGATTCCACATTTTCGGTTTGCAGATTTTTGAATGTGGCCACAGGGACATACGTGACCAATGTAAACAACTTATTCGGAGAGTCTTCATCGTCATTGCGGCGTCGAGCTAAACGCACCCGAACGCGAAAAGGTGTGGATCTATTATTGTAAGAAAGAATACAATTGATAGTTTCACCAATTTTAAAAAGGCGCTAAAAATGAACTTACCTGATACCTTTAGACCAGATGTGTTTATTTAAACGAGTGTCGATTCGTACATCGGAGGTGCCCATTTCTTTCTCCGCAAATTTGCGGATCTCCTTGATGGCTCGTGGTGCACGCTTCTTAAAGCCGACGTTATGCACCCGTTTAGCTAAATGTATGGTACACTCGCGGGTCACTACTTCATTAATAGCTGATTTATTACGTTTTTCAACTTTGGTTTTAGCCATTTTTGTATATTGAACCAAGTGCGCCTACAATCCTGAAATAATTCGAAAACGGTTCAGCATATGTTTGACGTTCATGTTTTCACTCGACGTAAAGTATCTTTTCGAACTTTCACAACAAAATATTCATTATAGGAGATATTCCACAACCAGTGGAATTAAAAGCACATTGTAGTTTTACTTATTTTTCCTCGTCCTTTACGATGCTTTTAGAATAATTTCCTAAAGTTTTCTAAGCAGAAACCCACCTTACGGAATTAAGAAAACCAGGCAAAAGAAAGTCGCAAAACATCAAGATTGCCAGCGTTGCAATTTAACTATAAAAAAATAACAAAAGCAATCTCTGGCAAATAATAGAATTATAAAGAGAATTGGTCTAGTTAAAAGATGGCAACGCATTGAATATCTACAGAGAAGTAAAATTTCGATATTGGCAACAATATGATCTTCCTTTTTAAGAGAAAAATTCAAATGGAGATAGATTCGCATAAACATAATGACTAGCGAAAATCTGCGTGGGGAGAGTCTGATAGTAAGAGAATAAATTTGAATGCACGAGCGCAAAGACAGGCAATACTTTGCTTGAAAACGTTCTTCTTCTTATTTTATTCAAATACGGCTTGTGCTTAATAATTGTAGTTCCGTTAGTTAAAGATGTCGGATTGACCTTTATTGTGTAGTTGAAAATCAGAAAATTTCTTAAAATGCAAAACATGGATTTAGGGGATAACGAACTCAAACCTATAAAGATTCTTGGTGCCGGTAGTTTCGGCCGGGTATTTCTTTGTAATTATCGTCATAAGTACAAAGTTTGTGTTAAACGTATCATTGTCAAGAATCCTAAAAAGGAAATGAAAATAGTTATGCACGAGGTAAGAAAATGTTCCTATATTCCAAAATAATTTGCCAAAGAAATATTATTATTTCCCATTGGCTTAGATTTACATTATGTCACAACTACGACATCCTCATATCGTTCACTATGTACGTTCTTTCGTTCACGCCGGTACAGTGAATATAGTAATGGAGTACGCGCCTAATGGCACATTACATGATCTTATTAGAGGTTCTTTACCCAACGGCTTCACCGCAGCCGAAGTAATACACCATTTTTGCGACATTTTAATGGGCCTCGAGTATTTACACACACGCCATGTTATCCATCGTGACCTAAAGCCAGCCAATTTATTAGTCGATTCCAATTTTTGCATCAAAATTGGGGACTTTGGTATATCCTTTATTAATTCGCCAAATGTCACTCATGATTTTGCTGGCACGATTCTCTATATGGCTCCGGAAATAATGCGTTGTGAAAAATTTAATAATAAATGTGATATATGGTCTCTTGGTTGTCTATTGTATGAAATATGTTGCGGTCGTAATCCCTTTGCGCATGCAACCTGCCGCGATGAGGTAGATCGTTTAATCCATTCCTTTACACGTCGAAGATTAGATTGCAGCGCCATACGTTCAAAATACGGTACAATGTGGGCAAACCTCTGTTCATCGATGTTAGTGACAGACGTTGAAAATCGCATATCCTTAGAAAAAATTCTACACTGGGATGCTAGTCTCACTTTATACTATTATCGCAAATATTTTGCTTATAGTTACCAGAAATGAAAACGAGGAGAATTCAAAATTTTAATTATTAGAAGTAACAATTGATCAATTCTTTTACTGTTAAAAAAACAAAAAAACCTGTAAAACAACATTGTAAAGTCATTATGTTCGGTCTTTTTTTTTTTCTTCTTTTTTGTAATGTGTTCGTGAAGAGTTTGTATCGTGAAATGACTGCGCTTTTATATATTAATCAAACAATTTTTTAAATATGCCAAAAAAAAACATTTTGTAGCAAAGTCATTATATAAAATTTTTTGTAATGTGCATGTAAAGAACCCGTATCTGATTAATATTGTAATAAAAAAAATTAAACAAAAGGTCGCTTTTTATCCCTCGTTGCATTTATCAAATGGAAAACACTAAATTTGAAAACAAGCTTTAATCTTGTAATGGAATGAAATAATACTTTGTTTAGCAGACTTATAAAGTTTCTGCTGCCGCATGCTCAATTTTGTAGAATTTTCTAGGCAAACTGAACGATAAAAGAAAAGGATTCAAGAGTGACTTGTTCCTTCGCCCGCATCACTTTTTTATATTATATGAACAAAATTGAAGAAAAATTAATTTTTATGCAATTAAAAAAGAAAAGTACAAACAACGAAGGCCATTACAAGAAAGGAATTATCCTGGGTAGGCACAAATTGTCGATACCCATCACCTAATTACTTCCTTTTTTCCTTTCAAATAATGACTAAGTACCTATAAACGTATCAGAGCGTATAAGACACTGCTGCTTACATACCACGTGTAAACATTTACAATATATCAATATATCGTGCGAAAAAGAATCACACGTATTGTACATTTTCCTAGAGCAAAGGAACAGTTTTAACAAACATGGATGTGTCTTAGCAATAACAATCTATTATTATTATTATTACATTGTTATCACAACCATCACCGAAGGATGATGAGTGGTATATTCGTTTTGTCAAAACGTTTGCAACGCCCAGAAGAACGTTATGCATAATGTGTGCATATTCTTGATCAGCATTAAATTTTAAATCGATTTATTCATGTCTGTCCGTCCGTCAGTGTAGTGTCAGTGTAGTGTCTGTTGTAGATAATGATAAAATGAATCTATCGACTTCAAATTTGGCAGAAACAGCGGGAGTTCTTGCACACACCCGCAGCGCCACGTAAACTGAAAATACTCCTGTTTTTCAAGAAGAACGAAAAATTTAGGTGTTGCTCATTACCCATAAATTATAGAAAAAAAATGTACAAAAATTTGAACGCATATTCTACGGGCGATGTTGTAGCATTCGTGTAAAAAACTGGAAAAAAGCTTGCCACGCCTAACCAGTATTATAGTGTATCAGACTTTAACTGTTTTTTCAAGACCTTTATAGCTTCAAAAACCCCACAAAGTATACAAATTTTTGACCAATTGTAACTCTTAAATGCATCTGAACATGTTGGCCTGTTCGTCTGCTCATCTGTCTATTTGCGTAATTTTGTAGTATTTGTGGTAATAATTCTCTCGTTAGCGAAAACGAAATTTGAAAAAGAATTTGAAATTGACACGCCTACAACGCGCACCTATCTCTACGACGAAAACATGGAGGATCATTTATGAAACTATTCCATACATACTTATACTTACATAACTTGAAGTATTTAAGGCGAAAAAAGCACCTTACACCAGCATACAGCCGGTACAGTCATGTGGCGACTTCGGAAAACAAAGGATTATATAGGAAGTGATCTGATCCGAATCATTTTCAAAAGCGTTGAAAATGTTGATCGTTGGGTTACAATACATCTGTGCACCAAATTTCATCAAAATACCTCAAAAGCGTGGCCTGTACATTCAACAAAGAAAACAAGGCAGACAGAGATGCTTGGCAGCTTAATGAAAGATGGGCTCCTCTCAAGTTATTAAACACGAGGAATAGGAAACCAAATAAATAGTAAAATTGATTTTGCCAATTAGCGTTAGATACAAAAAGTAGTTCAATAAATATGACACCGTATGGTAATATCTATGAAAAATACTTGTATGCCGCTACCTATGACAGCTGAAAATAACCGAGTGTTTCTTGGAGGACGAAATGGGTTACCATGAATCAATTTCCATCCAGTTTTGTCAAATGTATCCTCAATTTTATCGTCGGTATTATGACTGGCAATATCACGCCGTAAAGTACTTGTCATAATCATAGTACGATTGCCTTATGGAGATAAATAGTAAAGTTGATATCACACGATTCCAAGCCATTTCCATAAACATCTCACCGGATAAAAAGAAGATGACAACCAACGAATTGATAGTGCTGAACCAATGAATTTGTACAACTTTACTGCCTAAATAAATGTCCCACCGTGACGTCCAACTAACTTTAGATTCCTCTCATTCTATCGAATAAGTGAAATACAGCTGTGTATTAGAATTAGGATTAACTAATTGGGTACTATTTGTACTATTTGTGTGTACTATTTGCAAATCCAACTTGTTGGAATCGTTGAGAACTTCCTTCGGCGCAGATAAAGTCATCCTGGGTAACGCATAACTTCGCACAAACTGACCGTATCCTTAATGCATCATAAGTGTTGTAGGATATAGAAAAGGAAATATCTTACGTACACTTATTGCGTCTCTGTATATGTGTGTACAGGTCTTCCGTCGAACGGCTTTGTCCCTGCTCTTCACAATTAGAGTAGAGTTGTTCACAATAACGGAATTTCGTTAATAACGATTTCTTTTCATAATTCTTCGCTCACACAGTAGCACTATTTAGAGAAAGAATTATGAAAAGAGAAAAAAGTCCGAAGTCCGTCTGTATATCTTATGGATATTTTTTTTTTTTAAATAAAATTAGCGAGAGAGTTGAACATCGTCAGAGATTGGACGTTGGCAGAAAGGAAAAATTGTGGCGGCAAAACGTGAGCCAAGACATGTGCGTGGTGATCAAAGCAATAGAAAATAAAAATGAAAAAATTATCTAAGACAGTTTGAAATAAATATTAAGAAAAACTAAATACCGCAATTAAATGAAAATTTTATCATATTACAACCGCTATAAGTTGTGTAAACAGCCAACTACAAGTCGATAAAAATCAAATGCTTAATGTTAAGGACAAATATGCGATTTCTTGGTAAGGATAGCATGTAAATATATCGGAGTGTAAAATAAAGATAATAAAAAGAAAAAAAAAGGGAATCAAATAATTGTTTTAATACTGTTCCAAAGGGATGCTTAGCTGCAGGGCAATTGCTATCGTTCATGGACTACGTCATCACATGGAAGCCTAGAGAATTTGGCCGAAATGTCTTTACTAGAGTGCAAAAGAAAAAGACTAATATGATAAACTAAGCATTGTACAGATTCCGTGAAGACGGGGTTTATGTGTGTGTGCCTGTAAGCAGAGGAAATTGACTATGGGTACTAACGTACAACGCGACTCACGGGCAGGTTTAGGTTGTTCTTGACTTAAAATTTTTTTTTTTGATATTATCGATTTTCCAAATATATAAAAAAAAAAAAAAATTGTGAATGTAGCTGAGCTAGTCAGGCACTGCTATACATCACACATAATAAGTTGTTTGCTGCCTGGTAGACTCTTACAAATGAAACGACACTTTCTTTAAGACTGTGATTAACTTTAGATATTTTCTTCTTTTTTTTTTTAATTTACATTAAAAAGTGTCTGTTAGATATAACTGTATGTAGAAAATTGGAGAATTTTCTAGCGTTCCAGACTAATTTATTTATTGTTTGAATATATTTATAATAATATTATATTTTTTTATTATAATTTTAAATTTTGTTTTTTAAACATTTTCATTTATTTTCTCTTCTTTTTTCTTAATTTATTTATATATTAATAATATTATTATATTATATCTTTTACGCAATTTCAAGCTTGTTGATATATATTTAAATTTAGGAGAGGGGACACAATTTGGTAAATAGGAAAATTGTTAAAAACAATTTATATGGTGTGGCATTTTGCTTCTTTTTTTTTTACAATCTCCAAATCTCGGCAAAAATTAAAAACTGAATTGAAGGGGGTTAAAATAGGAAGCAATGTAAAAGAAAATTTGAACTAAAATTCAAGGTTCAGTTGGAAGCAAAGTAAATTTAACAATAAAAATGATTACACAGATTGAAAATGAAATTAAAAGATAAAGACATTCCCTGGCTGTGATTTTATTTATTTTTTTTTTCTTTTCTTATTAATTTTGGTTTAGGTTACGCTCACAAACTGTGGCTTATTCCTACTTATCTTTTTTCGTTTTAGGAAGAAAATTAAATTATTCTCCGCTTGCATTTGATTCAAGATTGGAATAATTTTTGACGAAAAGTATATCTCCTCTATAGATTCCTTTTATAGCCTTTGTATGTGGAATCTTGAGTTCCCCATTCTTGATTACTGTTCCCTTTTTTCTGTTGTTTTTGTTTAGCGCTAAAACAATAGAGCCCCTGCACGAGCCGTACTTTTATACTTGTTTTTTATGAATATTTTTTTAATTAAATAAAAAAAAAATAGTTTTACACATATTCAATACCTAACCTGGGACACAGATCAATAAATTGGAATTACAATTTTCTTCATAATCCAAGCTGTGGCATGCATTTTTCTATTCTAGATTCTATAGACCAGCAGCATCATTTTACATTTACAATGGTATAATTTCTTTTGCTTTTTTCTTTACAATTTTCAAACAAAAAAAAAAAAAAAAGGAAAAATTCCAAAGTTATTTTATTGTTAAATATTGTTGTGTTATCTGTTTTTGTTGTTGCTGTAGAGTATAAAATGGGGATGAAGTGGTGACGGTGGCAGCAGCAAACATAGCGGTAAACACTGCTATAGCTGTGGTGTAGACAAAATTCATACGATCTAATCATTCCCATTCAGTGGTACCGGGCGGTTTTGAAGTTAAATCGTATAACACGCGAGAAATGCCATCCAGTTTTGAAATTTCTTGTACCATATTACGCAAAACCTAAAGATAATTAAAAAAAAAAAAAAAAAAAAAAAAAAAAAAAAAAAATAATTGTAAAAATGCGTTTACGTTAAATGAAATGATTAGCTTCACATGTAGGGGCAGATCCGATGATCCCGGTATGGCCGGCACACCGGTCATGAAATCGCTGGTTATGAAAGGTCTTAAAACAATCGATCTACTACAGGACGGTGTGCGATTAGTAGGATCTCTGTCGAAATGCACAGGTATCAATATAACAGGCATTTGTGAGATTTTACGCTGCAATCCCGCCTGTCTTAAGATCTGTAAAATATATTCAAGAAATAAAAGCAAATCTTGCGAAGAATATGTCCTTAATCACACCTCATTAGCAATGGCATCCGCTTGTCTTAATTGTTTAATAATATAATTATTCAGTGTTGTATGTGTAATATCAGTAATTTGGTATTGAACTGGTTCGCCAAAAATGTAACAAACGCGATTAACATTGTGTAATATACGAGGTATTAATTTTGCTAAAAACATCATATCATCCCAGTTCGGCTCATGCGAACTGGATAAACCCACCACATAACTATAGGTACGTTTGTCACCTGCAAAGAGGAAAGAAAATATTTCAGAAATATTTTCTCTTGCATTCCGCTTTTGTTTTTGCTTACCTTGAACACCCACGGATCGTATAGGCAGCACAGTCGCTTGTATTTGTGAATTTAGTGATATACGAATTAATTCATGCTGTTCAGTTTCAGATGTAGCACTGGTAACGCGATTGATTAAGGCGTGATTTTTTTCCAATTTATTTTTATAATCAACTATAACACGAGCGATCACCTAAAATTGGAAAGTTAAATGGAATTAGGAATTGATTTACAATATCTTGATATATATATATAAATATATACATATATATATATATGTATACCTGCGTTTCTGAATAATCCTTTTCTATAAAAGGTTCTTCGGCGCAGAGTATACGTATAGCTAAGCCGGGTCCTGGGAATGGTTGCCGCTCGACTAGTTCGGGTGGTATACCTAAGTCATGACCCAGCTCTCTTACTTCATCTTTATGAAAATCGCTTAAAGGCTCAACTACGCGACCAGCATTACGTAATTCCCTGTAGATTCATTCGTAAATAAATACAAATCGTTTAATTAGCGTTTTAACGGCTGACCTTATCAGTTCTGTATCATTGTGATGTGTCTTAATTGTCTCGGCATTCGTGCTAACCAAATTCGAGGCAGATTCTATAAGATCTGGTCTCAAAGTGCCTTGAGCTAATAACACCTCTTCGGGTTTTAATTTCATGTCTTCCACTATATCCTTTGTAATTTTTACAAATATGTCACCAATAATTTTGCGTTTCTCTTCGGGGTTAATAGTCTGGCATAGCATTGGAGTTTCGACAATGGAAAATTGCCCGGGTCTTTTAATTTGAGTAGTACCCTTCAGGAAAGTGTAAACTTCTTTGCGCACTATTAAATCTATACCAATATCACGCAACGATTTTTCGACTTTTTCACTCTCATCTTTTCGCATGAAACCTATACAAATCCCAAAAGAGAAAGATAAAAAAAAAATCGTTATTCCCTGCTTAACTGTGGCTTTCAGTAGCTTGTGATGTTTCAGTTACCATTATCTATATGTACAGCAATTATTTGGCTGGGATGCAAGGCATGACGCAATAAGGCAGCACAAACTGTTGAATCAACTCCACCACTCACCAGTAACTGCGAAAAAAACGAAATGCGGTAAACATATTAAATATATCATCTTTTTTTACATTTTTTTAATTTACTTACCAGAACTTTATTTTTGCCCACTTTATCTTTAATATACTTAAGGCATTCTTCTTTGCGACTGCCCATGGTGAAGTTCGGTGTTACACCACATATGTCGCATAAAAAATTTTTTAACATTTGTTTTCCCGAGGGTGTTAGATCAACTTCAGGATGAAATTGTACTCCGTATATTCGCATTACTTCATTATAGATTACTGTTATAATATTGTTCGAGGAACGACCACCGACTTTCAATTTATCCCCAAGGCGCTCCACACTATCAGCATGCGTCAATAGAACGGTTTGATTGCGGCTAAGACGACTACAATATTAAATTATATAAACATTATGTTAGTAAAATGCCTTAGTTTGTTAACCTGCGGAAAGAAAAGAATAAGGATATGAGAAAATGTAAAACCATGTGTAGTCCAATGCGTCGGCTTTAACTTTATGGGATTGTTCATGGTTCTATGTATAACATTCTATCTTGAAGGATTGTATCAGCTTTTGTTTAAACTAAATAATCAAACGCCTTCTTGTCCTTCGTGACAAAACTAAATGAATTTTTAATCACTTATTACATTAGAATTTCTTTCATTCGAAAACCCGATACCACATGAGAAGAAAGAGGAAAGGATTTTAAGGTTTTTTGTTTGAGACTGAGTTAATTATTGCTGGAGAAGGATTGTAACGTTGTCCTGTTCAGACACTTGAAGCAAACCGAATTTTTTTTTTTTTTTTTTTTTTTTTTAAGAATATTTACGTTGTTTATATGCTTTAAGATGTTACTTACTTAAATAAAGGACACGACGTTTCTACTTCAATAATTTGTTGGCCATCTTCTCGTGTATTTTTTCTTGATACCGTACCGCCGAACTCTTTATTAATCAATTGCATACCATAACAAATCCCAAGTACTGGTATTTTCAATTTAAATATATCGGGATCATAGGTGGGCGCATCATCGGCATATACTGAATTCGGGCCACCGGATATAATGATGCCACGATAACCATTTGATCGTATAGCAGATGCAGATGTGTCCAAAGGTAATATATCGGATTCCACCAAAAGTTCACGAACTTTGCGATCGATAACCTGAAAGAATAAATTTACAATGTATGTAAAGACATTCCCATGATCACAATATAAGCGAAATTATTAACCTTTCCGTATTGAGCTCCAGCGTCTAAAATGGCCACTTTGTCATAACGCAAACCGTTTTCAGATGATAGAAATTTATTGGTTGTACTCATGTCGTTATCGTTACAGCACTGAAGGAAAAGCAGAGAAGAACAAAATAAATTAAATTGAATCAATTAAATCAGCTTAAAGAAACCAATTTACAATACGATTTTATAAGAATTAATTTTAAAGAATATTTGAAAGAAAGCAAGCAATTTTTTCTCTTTTCTTTACTAATCAATCAATAAACTCATTAGAAGGTTAAACATTTCCAAGCAAAAGAAATTTTAGAACAACAACAGCTATAATGAGAAAATGCGCCGTGGCCAGTTGTGACTCAATGATAGTAATACAAACCGGTAGAACTTTAAGGAACAGTCTGAGGAACATTCAACATAAATATACCGAAAGCAACCTTAAATTCTCAGCCTCCAATATCACCGAAACAAGTGCCGTAAAAAAAGAAATTATAACCAAGTAAAAGGAAACTTGAATCGAACTTAAAACTACAAAAACAAATCTGAACACACTAATTAATTAAATTTCTTTACTTTTTTTTTTGCACTTTTCTCGTATTTTCTTATAGTGGATGTTGCACATAATCTCTTGTAAAATAAACCAAAAATAAAAATATCATTCGCGTTGGATGTGTAAACGAAAACGAAATCTTTTTGCCTTTTTCCTTTCCTTTTTTTTTATTTATTTATATGCTTTTTTTTTTCTTTCCTGTTAATTGTGCGTTCTATTTGCTCTTTTTAATGCTTTCGATTTTGTGTTCAATAAAATCAAAGATACCCAGAAAATTTCTGCACCAAAATCATATGAATGGGTCAACATAAACCAACAAGAAATTTATAATTTTTAAATGCAACAACAAGATTAATGCTTGTGATGAAGATAAATTCCGAGCAGAATAAGCAATTAAAGCGTAGATATGGATTACGGTAACCCATAAAGAGAGAAGGTGAGAGAAAATTACCGTTAAGAATGGAAGACAATTGAGAAATTTAATATATCCTGTCAAAGCAAAGACGGTTAACAGACCCTTGCGCATTACCTCATAAAAAGAAGAAACGAACAATGAAATTACCCCTAAGTTTAAGTATTAAGTTTAAATTTTCGCCAAAATAATTATATAATATTATATTTAATAATTTAGGAATTTGCTATTCCATAGCTTTAAGATTTTTACGAGTTTGTTTTATATTAATTTTAATTAAATCATCCCAGAAAATAAGCACTGAAAACAGAATGACTTTGACCAGCTGTTAAATTATAGCGAAGAAGCACTTCTAAACGCTGTATTCTACGATATCTAACAATTTTCGAACAATTCTTGCTTCACTCTTTACAAAATCTATGCGAAAGTTCATTTTCTTGTGCGAAATGTTCTACAATCGTTTCATATTTTCAACTACTATACCCATATCCGGAACGAAATTATTTAATTGTATACAAATACGCTTTAATCACTCTTTTTTATATATAAATTTTCCGTTTTATGTCTCAAACATTTCGCAACAATAAGAAATGTTCAATTTGCACTGAGTCAATCTCAACTAAAACTTTCCTTTAACGAATATTAGAACCGGTCTTTCTTAATGCAGATTACATTTAATAGAGATAACCTGACGATAAACCGGCGTTTAAATTGCACATTTCGATTTTGCTGATAATAAAAGTTCAGAAATAATTAAAAAAACAACAATGACTAGACACACTTCGAAAAATAAAAGAAAACATATGTGAACTGAATAACCCGCAGTTTTTTAACAGGCACTGTTTCATCCACCACTACGTTGAAAAAGGCCACAATTTTCATACCTTCTCCACACTTAAAGCAACAAATTTTCACAGAATTTAAAAGAAGATTTCAGCCGTACAAATAATTTGCTAGTTACACAAAAATCAAACAGACTTGATTTTTAAACGACGACAAGAATCTCAAGCGGCTCCCATAAATTGAAACGCTGGAGAAGCAAAATGAATGCTCCAACAGAACCGCGTGTGTTTGTGGTTTTGCGTTATCGTTGTTTCTTTTTCGTCTCTAAATAGGTTTGTGGAGTTCTTTTTCTTTTCTTTCTTTTCGTTTTCTATATTTTCACCTTGATTGGAATATTTTTTACTATTTATTTCTCTATTTACACTACAGCTGTTCCTCCGTCATTTATTTAATAGATTTCTTGGATTCACTTTTATAAAATTTGAAGCTTCATCAATTTTCTGACAGAAATTTTCTTTTTCATTACACGCCTAATATTGCGAATATCTCTTTGATACACACAACTTATAACACACAAACAATACTAAAACGTGAAAGAGACAACTGTAGAATCGAATTATAAGACGAAAATGGCGCGACTATCATCAAAAATAAATTTTGTTATGTGTGCTACTTTCATTTTTCGGGACTGAAATCCCCACAATACCACTTTTATGCCTTAAATGTCATATAGAGACATTGGGGAAATGCGACACTTAGTCATTTCAGTTTCACATAATACTGAGATAATTAAAATTTTTGATAACACGTTCATTTGTCAATGATTGCGTTCCATTTACAAACAAAATTTTGGAATTGGACTTAAATGTATAATGTAATATTCATTGTTCAGCTTCTAAAGTGATTCAATAGTTTAATCAAGAAAATGGTTAATATGGTGCTAAGTGCAAAATATTTGAACTCACTAAGAACTTGAACAATTTATTAGTTTGTGGAAAAAGAAATCCATTATTTTTATATGAACTTCAGGACTTTATTTAACATGCTTCGGATTGTCCGATTTGGGTCAAATATGCACCGTTTTGTTGTATGATTTGTTGCCATTTTAAAGGTAACTTCAAAATGCCTCTTTCATAGAAGTCCTGGTCTCTATTTGCAAAAAACTCTAGTAGTCGATTTTCACAATACTCCCTAGATTCGAATTTTTTATCCTTAAAGAAGTTTTGCAATGCAAGAAAAAGATGATAATCGCTTGGTGCCAAGTCCGGACTGTATGGCGGATGCATTAAAACTTCCCAACCAAGCTCCCGAAGTTTCTGGCGAGTCACTGTAGATATGTGTGGCAAAGCGCTGTCCTGGTGGAACACGACACCTCTCCTGTTGGCCAATTCTGGCCGTTTCTGGTCAATCGCTATCTTTAAACGGTCCAGTTGTTGACAGTAGAGATCAGAATTTAGCGTTTGGCCGTATGGAAGCAACTCATAATAAATAAACCCCCCTCCAGTCCCACCAAATGGATAGCAAAACCTTCCTGACCGTTTGAGGTGCTTCACCGCTCTTTGACCACGATCGTTTTCGCACAGGGTTATCGTATGTGATCCATTTCTCATCTCCAGTCACTATCCGTTTAAGAAATGGGTCTATATCATTCCGTTTGGCCAAGGCTTCGCAGATGGAAATTCGATCCAGCATGTTTTTTTCTGTTAATTGGTGTGGCACCCAAACACCGAGCTTCTTTTTGAATCCAGCTTTGTGTAAATGGTTTAAAACTATTTTATGGTCGATTTTTAGCTCCTGGGCGATGTTACGACTGCTAACATGCCGGTCAACTTCGATCATTTCTCCGATTTTATCGACATTTTCGACGACCGGCCTACCTGTACGAGGTGCATCTTTAACATCAAAAATTCCTCAACGGAATCTACGAAACCAAAATTGCACATAATCGGCTGTTACAGTATCGGAACCATAAACACCATTCACAATTTTAGCCGCCTGGCTTGCATTTTCGCCTTTGTCAAAGAAAAACTGTAAAATGTACCGAATTTTCTCTTTGTTCACTTCCATTTTTAACACGCTGTAACTCACAACTGAATGCACCAAACAAAAAACAGCAAAAAAATTTTTTTTACTGCGAAATATCACCTTTCCAACGAGCATAAATCTGAAATTGTTTGGTCGATACTTTACGAGAAATCTATCAGTGCAGCCATCTACCGAAAAAATAATGGATTTCTTTTTCCCCAAACTAATATATGCTTCCTTTTTTTACATTGGATCACGAAGATGTAGATGAGTAACACGAGTAGATAATTTTTATCAAAATAGTAGTGAGGTCAGAAACTTATTGAAATAGTTTAATTGGTTATAGTTCCAATGATTTTAATTGGTTAAAAAAAGAAATTGAATATAATTCTGATCATAAGCGTACTCAGTTAATTTCAATTAGTAAGCAGTGGCCACTGACAGTTAATATGAGCGCGAGTAAATATTTTGATATTGTGCATCTGGTTTATGCACGACGACACATATCGCCGAATCGAAGGAAAAATTATACAAAAAATAATTCTAATTGATCTAGAACAATTGACTATCTTAGTTGTAAAATCTTTTTTTTGGAACCTTTGGACAAACTCTTACTATAAAGCACATTCTCTGCGACTGCCTCAACTTTTCCTTGGCTAGAAGTATTGCATTTGGAACGATTAACCCTTTGAACATTCTACAATCAGCTTCAGAACAGAATATCAATTCAATATTTTACTTTATAAATACTACTAAGCTTATTATTTAATATCCATTTATTTAAATTAGAGCCGATAGCCTGTGTTGCTAGTGCTCAATGTCTTTTTTTTAGTCTAAGAATTCAATTCATTAGTCTAAAATTAAAATAATAATAATAATAATAATTGGAACCTTTCGCAACATTTTCATTGATGTGATTATTATGAGGCGACATAATGACGCATTATTATTATTTTCGGTACGCGATTTCAACTTTGTCGATTTTTTACAAGATTTTATGGGCATTGACAAATCATACGGTTTTGCATGTCTAAATACTAATAAAACAAATAGAAGACAACGTGCGGGCAAATTATTTTAAATTTACAAATTATTCATCTAGTTTATGTTTATCTTACACTAATGTACACTTTGTTTAATATAATAATGTGATTTGTAATTGCGGTTTATACCGTCCATCATTTGTAAGAAATGAAAAACAAGCAATAAAGATAATTTATTTTAAGTTTGAAACATATTCAGCAAATTGTTTTATCAGGGAGCCTTAAATGGCAATTTTCCATACACAAAAATATATCAAATATATGTAACTACATATATCTAATCAATCTTCTTTATCAGAAATCGAAAGCAAGCTTGTTTACTTTTACATTAACTTCCTAATTGTTATTTTTCCCGAAGTTGTTGTATTTTTAGTTTTAAAACAACATGTTTTTGTATACTTTTTTCTCTAAAACAATATGGTAGCGCGGCTGTCCGCTTAGGGTATTTAACCTGAAAATGAAAACGACGTCTCATTGTTGCAACATCCTTTGTATGTTTTAAACATGGGATTTATTTACTCGAAAATCGCAATTAGTTTTCTTGCGTTTGGCTTGTTATACACAATAGATAACATTTTAATTTCAAGGAAGTAAGTGAATCATTTAACGACCCTGTGCTTTTTAAGCATATATAGTGAAATCAATGTAATTATCGATAACACCATTTATCTTTTTTAAAAAAAGGAAATGAGAAAGTCTCCCTTTGTCAGCACAAAAAAAAACGCGGGAAATTTTCTATTTGTTTATTGTAACAAGATCTCGTCCATTTACTAAAGCGGTGAGAAAATGAGTTTTGAACAGAAACAAGATAATTCTATTGATGATGATGTTGAGATATTAGCTTTAGAGAAGCTCCTTGCAGCAGCTGAAGATAAAGAAAAAGTGGAAAAGCAACAAGTCATTGCTAATTCACAACCAGTCTTAAGTGAAGACAGTTTTGGCGAAGCCTTTAGCTGTGATATAAATCAGCCTAATATTAAAAAATTGCCAACTGACAATATTAAGGAAATTGATTCATCAGATGATGAAGCAATCACAAATTTTTTGGAACGGAAATATAATGAATACGGCAATGAAATAAATAGGCGCTTAAAAGAGCAAACTAGATCCGTTAAGGAGCGGGCAGTAGAAAGAGATGTGAATGCTGCTTTAGCTGACGAAGATATTTGCAGCGAAGAAAATAAAAATGATCATCAAATGATTGGTGCAAGGGTGCATATTAAAAATCCTCATCAACCCATAAAAAGGCAATCCTTGATAAGTGACAGTTTTAAGAGATTACCGGACACGAAGGTAAGGAATGAACAATCACTTACAGCAGCTCTGCCACAACAACAAGTTTTCGCTGATCCTGTTTTTGGTTTGCGTATAATCAAACCTTTAGTATCGAGCAAACTGTTGGTGGAACGTATGGAGGGTCGTAAAGCCATATCATTTGCTAGCGTTGCTTTTCATACCCAACGTGGAGATCTTTCTCAAGATTGGGTAATTGCCGGTGTGGTCATACATAAAAACCCAGTTAAAATGACTAAAAAGCAGCAACCCTATTCGATTTGGCGCCTTTCCGATTTAAAGGGAGATATTAAAACCATATCATTGTTTCTTTTCAAAGGCGCTCATAACGAACTCTGGAAAACGGCTGAGGGCGCTTGCATTGCTATTCTTAATCCGAAAGTGTTCGATAATCGGGCTGAAAATGGCGACGTGGCCTGTCTTACAATTGATGTGGCGCAAAAAGTAATGATTTTAGGACAATCCAAAGACCTAGGTGCTTGTAAGGCGCGTAAGCGTAATGGGGATGTATGCAATGCTGTGGTCAATTTAAGCGAATGTGATACCTGTGTTTTTCATATTAAACAAGAATTCGGAAAAATGTCGAAACGATCTGAACTGCAGTCTGCTAATGCTGGACGAGGTTTAAATGAATTACGTAATAAAGTCTTAGGCAAAAGCGAAGTTTTTTATGGAGGACAATCGTTTAGTGCAGTACCTGCCAAGAAGAATCCCAAGTTGGTTCAGAAAGATATGCAACGTTTGAGTACATTGTCAGAATACGCCGTCTCGCCTTTTGCTAGTTCGGTAAATCATACTGCAAAAGCGAAAAATAGTGGAGTCGATGTGCCGTACGTAGCGCGTACTGGACCAGTTTCTAAAGTGGCTGGAGATATAGGAACGACCCGTAAGCAACGGTTAAGAGATTTAGAAAGACTTGAAATGCTTGAGAAATCTTCCGTAGCAGCAGAAGGAACGGCGTCAACGGCAGAAGCAGTAATTACAACAGCACCAAAGCAGCAACCTAATCCAAACACAAATCTTGCTACTAAAACAGGAGTAAGAAAAACCAAATTACCTTCTTCAGAGTCAGAAAAACTGGTCACTTCTCCATCTCCTTTGAATAGTCCTGCAGTTCCAGATAAATTTAAAAATCGTGAATTTTCATTTTCCAACTGCTCGCCGCGGTTATCAAGGGAGGATTTTTGCATTGAAGTCAACATTGGTGAACGCAAAGCTCAATTAGCCAAAATGAAAGCATTAGAGGTTTTGAAACAAAAGCCTATCGAGAAAGTCGATCCGAATTGTATTCGTGGCACGACGCAAGGTAAACGACGAGCCATTGATGAACTTAGTGAACGACTAATGAGCAGTGACGCGAAACGAAAAAAGCTAGTCGAGGAACAACGCGAAAATGAACGCAAAACACGCATAGAGCGTATTATGGCGGCGAGTTCATCGCATAGTAATCTGGTGGATATGCTTGATCGAGAAGAGCAGGAGAAATACTTTACCAAATTGGAGAAAAAAGAAGCTTTGGAAGAGAAAATGCTAAATACTTACAAAGTACCTTGCAAGGCAGTTATCTGTCAATTGTGCAAATACACGGCATTTTCGGCGGCTGAACGTTGCAAAGAAGCAAAGCATCCCTTGAAGGTCGTCGATGCCGAAAAACGTTTCTTCGAATGTCAAGATTGCGGCAATCGTACGGCTACAGTTTTCAAATTGCCGAAAACGAGTTGTAAAAACTGTCAAGGATCTCGCTGGAAGCGGGCAGCTATGATCCGTGAACGTAAGATTGTAAATGTCGGTTCAGAAAACTTATCATTACGTGGCGACGAAGAGCTATTTATTGGCAGCATTACAGGCAAAGCTAATCTCAATCTTCTTGTGGCCGACTAAAAATATAAAAAACTATACCATAGCTTGCATAAATTTAATTATTGATCATTTATTTAGCAGTAAATGTTTACATTTAAGTACATTTTCTAAGAGATTATTTTAAATTCTATTTACATCAAATTTGTTGGAATGATTGCTTCAGAGATGTTTCTAATTAATTACTTTATAGTTCTTTTTTTTTTTTTTAAATATATTTGGCAAGCGCTCGTCTTAGGCAAATTTAAATAGTAATTGTTTTATAAAAAGTTGCTTAAGAAGAAAATACAATGGCGGCAGATAATTTCTTATAAACTTTGGCTTAAAGTAAAATAAAAAACATATATATCTATAAAAAAGCCTACTTAGTTGAATATCAAAAATATCACTTTTTAAATATTAAAATTAATATTTAATTCGTTTAATATAAAAAAATAGAACTGCAGGACAACTTTTTTTTTTTTTTTTTTTTGTAATTTGAGACGAAAGGAAGCAATTGGTGAATTTTAATTAATCGTAAATTAGAATTAGTTAACAATTAAGCTAAAAGTGCTTGAAGTAAAATGAAATTAATTAATGCTTAAGTTTTTATTGGTTTATACTTTGATACATACACACTTTGGATGGAATGATTTGTTTTATGCCGCGCCTTCTTGTTCGCTGAGATTTAATAAACTCGAAAAACGAAATGAAATAATTTTCGAAATATGTTTTTCAAAGTCGTTACTATCCAAATTATTCGGAATGGGTCCTTTATTTGTCATATCCACATAAGAGCGACCTTTTTTCATCGGCCTGGCATATAACTCTAATATGTTTTTATCTAATGAAGATTTTCGTATATTAAATGGAAATCTGAGATCATTTTCATAACGTAATTTCTGCTCAGTGGTATTGGTTTCTATTAAGGGGCGCGGCATGTCATAACCAGGTGGTGGTAGGAAATTGATGCTGCATGTACCACTAGCGAACTCACGACTGCATAGGTTTTCCGGCAAATCATAAGACATTTTTGGTGGCCTCCACAAGCGCTGCAACTTGTCCGGTACACTAACGTTTTCATTATTTAGTTTCTTTGTATGTAGAGTATTATCCTCTTCTTTATTATTTGCTGTTTCAGTACAATAGTTTGGATTGGAAAAGGCGTGTGTTTCTAATTCCGAATATTTGCTATTGTTAGTTACAAGTTTTTCAAACTCTGACGCCAAATACTTGAACGACGGTCGAGCGTTCGGATCGTTTGTCCAACAAGAACGCACGATAGCGTACCTAAGAAAATATAGTTGGGAAAATAAATAACATAATAAGACGTAGAAGGTCCATACAGATTCTCAAGTACTTACAGCTCTTCCGAACAATTTTCAGGCCTTTCCATACGGAATCCACTTTTAAGTAAGTGATAGAGGTTTTGTGGCGCTACACCCGGATATGGGGAAGCAGCCAGTGTTATGAGCTCCCAGCACAATATCCCGAAAGCCCAAACGTCCGATTTTGTCGTATATACGTGATCGGCCAAAGACTCCGGAGCCATCCACTGTTCAAAACGTAAACGATAAAAGCGTTATAAACGAAAGCTTTGCGTACAAATTTTTTGTATGTTGGATTAGAATAATACATTTCTCAAAGTGCAGCTAAAAGATAATACAGAGAAAATATGGCAACTGTTAATCGGGCTGCAGTGTCTAAAGTTCCTTCAGTCAATATTACAAGGGTCGCAGCTGAATGGCAAGAATATATATATATATATATGTATATATATATGTTATATCTGGCTCTGCTTTTCATGGTAAGGGAATTGTCCTGTCTTGAAGGAAAGAGATTGCAGAAGAACCAGAGAAGTGACCGCTGCGCTTGAGAGCTTGACAGATTCATATTGTTTGGATATTTTTTGATCGCTTATTGAAAACTTTACGATAAGATGGATCCTATCAAACTTTCTCTGAAATCGTCGCAAGTGATAAATGCGTCAGCCTGCCATTGTATACAGGCCTTAGTTAAGGTTGAAACAATACATAAATTCGCTCTGTGTAACTAGTTGGGGAATTGAAATACAATCAAGTACTTAGCCCAAAGGAAGGGAGAGGTTTCGAATAATCCTCACCTCATTTGTAGGATTAAATTTCATCATTATCGAGTTCAGTTATTTGACTTACTTTAACTGGTACGCGATCACGTGACCGTTTTAGATAGGCATCATCTTCGTAAACATCTCGAGTTAAGCCAAAATCGGATATTTTGCAAATTTTATTCTCAGCCAAGAGCACATTACGAGCCGCTAAGTCTCGATGAACCAACTGCAATACGATTTTAGATTCTAATTAACTTATGAGCAACAAAGGTTGCTCTATTATTTACCTTAATCTCGGTCAAATATGTCATGCCTTTGCAGATTTGAAAAGCAAACGATAAAATATCACATTCGGTGATTGGTTCTATACCGTCGGTAAAGTCGACACCACACTGTTCAATTTTTCTGCTTAGTCTTAAATAACTGCGCAACGAACCGTATCGAGCATATTCGATAATAATCATTGGACTATCGTCCTTGGTGCAAGCACCCAGTAATTTTATGACATTTGGATGCGAAACTTCTTGCAATAATTGAAATTCGGACATTAAAGCCATATACTCGACCGAATTTGCGCCTTTTTTAAGCATCTTCACAGCTATAAAATATAAAAATCTAATTGTAGTCACTGTTAAATCGAATAATATAAATTTAAGTAAAAAAAATATCCATATATATTTACAAACCTACGGTTGTGACACCCAATTTTCCGTCTATATCTGTAGCGTAACCCTTCATAACTTTCCCGAACTCTCCTTCGCCAAGAACAGTGTCCAGTATTAGAGAATCCCGAGGATATTCCCATTTGGCATCAATCGTTGTTGCTTCGAATTTAAAATCATTATCGAGCTGCATTAATGGAAGATCACCGTTACGCATATCGCAATCATCCCCATTAGATGACGACTCTCCACCTTTTTTACTATTTGCCGGCGATTGGTTATGTAAAGAGCGCTTGGCATGTTTATGTCTTGTTAAGAGCACAGTAGCAAGCAGAAATATAAAAACCGTAGGAGCAATGATAGCTACAATTACACAGGACTTATCACATTCCAGGCCGGCCATGCTAAGGATTTCTTGTATTGGACTCTTTTCTTCTATTACCGCAGCAGTATTGCTGTCCACTTGAAAATTGTCGCGTTGTAAATCGCTTTCCAATTTTTCGGAGCCTGGTTCCATTTTTTGTTCATTCTTGCGTTTGCGCTTAGGTCGGGGCTCATCCTCGTCCATTGGGGCGCAGAAACATTTTCCATTATCTTCACAAGTGCATGTACCCGAGGCAGATAATATACCGCGCTTGTTATCGTTGATAGAACGTGGCCCCATTATTCTATTACCTGCTATGCAATCTTGGGGACATGCAAAGTTATTTAATTCTTCTAGAGGATCGCAGATATTGTCGGGACAAAATTGAGGATCAGGTACACAAGAAGCATAGTTTCGGCTAAAAAAAGCAACATTCGAGCCACGCCATACACAGGCACCGCCATTGGTTGCTAAACCGCAATATTTAACGCATTGCTTTGAATACTTAATTTGAGCACAAGATTGCGATCGTGACTTGAGGCGATGTTCGCAGGTAGTATTCTCTGGACGCCCTTCTAGCAAATGGACATTAATAACGAACGACCGCTGATGGGTATCGTGCCAGGATACATTCAGACTATAAGTTGGTGATGATAATTATAAGTAATTTTTTAACAACACTTTAATCCTAGAAGACGACTTACAAGTAGATTGCTTCCGGTGATCGTTCCACTGATAAAGCATTTTTCTCTTTAATATAAATTATCCCACCCACAGCAGTGATACCGAAAGCCCCGCTACGGTCTTCAAATATGGCAAATTTCAATTCAGGCAAATTCATTAGTCGAAATAAATCAGCCGGCTGTGCTACACGATATAGGGACTGAGCCGTACGATGAACGTATACGTCTTTGGGGAAAGTATTTACAATGCTATTGGTAGCAGAAAGACCAAAATTGTCTGAACCTAAAATACTTTCATCCGAATTTATTACATTGCTGGCATATTTTTGATAATTATGTGAACGCAAAGGCATGGCAAGAGGACGGTCGGCTTCATGTATTTTCCGCGGATCGGTTCGTATACAAATGTGAGCTTTAACCTAAAAAAACGAATGGAAGGGTTTTTTACATCTTACACCATTACCAATACAGAGTTATATTAATGACGCGGGTCATACTGCATAATTTTCATTTTTTGATTCGATTTAAATCGATCAACCTATATGTATTTCTGACGTCTGTATGTCGAAACACATACAAAAACTGCACTGAACTGAAAGTCGCAAATTCGAAATACTAAGCCATACCTATTGAAAATGGAGTAGATTAGTACGAGCCGCTTTTATGCAACGCAGTGGTTTAACAAAAGCGTTATGGTCGTTATGGCCCATCTTCAGATGCCCTACACAACTTCTCTCAATACAGCTCTTCATAGAAAGAGTTTTTAAATAAGGCCTTGCATGGAAAGTGCTCGAAAAAGTAGTCCCATCCGAAGCATTTCCAATGGTGGCCGTCCTCAAGGCAAAACAAGTCAGATTTCATTGAAATATCTTAAAAATTGTGAATTTTGTAGGTTGAACACGTGAATACATGGACAGACGTACAGACAAACTTACGCCAATATTGTAAAAGGCGAGCCTATCTCGTGCCTCCCTGGGTTTTGTATACATCAGCATAAACTTAATGCAACCAGTACCACAGGTGATGTAGGATGTAAATAGGTTTTCGTCCATTTTACGAATGGTAAAATTTTAGATTGAAAGAACCACTTTTTGAAACTTAGTCTCGTATAATTATTTACTGAAAAAATTTAAAAAAAAATATTCAGAACTTACCGTTTTGCTGATATTAGTTTTAATAGTGTCATCGTTGGCCTCCAGAATGAAGCAATAGTTAGGCTGACTTAAAATCCCGTTACGGGCGAATATTATTTCTATAATATGATAAGCAAACTGAGAATTGACTTTTCCTTTCTCCATGTCCTATTAGCACTTACGACAACTTATAATCGATCTCCTTCGTCCCGTGTGATCCGTTTCGTAGGCGTTGCAGAGCGGCTGCACTAAACCGTTTGTATCATTGATTATACGATAAGTTTGATAAGCGTTAGCCGCAATTGAATCCTTATCCGTAAATATAATTTTTTCCCCAATTGTTTCATTCTATGAAAAAACAAAAAATAGATAAAAGAAAACAAAAACTATGTAGAATAAAAAATTAGGTCATCGCGTAATTAAAGTTCACCTTTGAAATATTTAATTAATGAAATTTGCTTAACTCAATCCCAAAAGGATGATTAAAAACGCGGTCTCGTTAAAGCTCTTCGGAGACTTTTTTGACCCTTCAGTTTATTTCCACTTACAACTACAGAAGTATGCTATGTTTATCATGCAGTTCATTGCTTTGAGGCTTTTAGAAATAACTTAGGATTCAAATTTAGATATCTGGAGATTTAGAGATTCCGGGCTGAACTGATCATATTCTTCTCTTCTTTACTTAATGTAAAAACTGTGACTGGGACAGAGACATGTCAAGCATCACATGTGAGTGATTCTATGCTTTCTCAACCAAAATCGGACGCCTAAGTAGATAGGTTTAGATAGTTTATATTTTTTGCTTCAAAAATATTTCTAATCCATGCCGATGGGTGTAAAACTGATGAGTCGCGTTTCATTTTCTCTCTACGTTATGAAGATAGCCTCACTATGAGTAGTAGTGAGTGAGTGTGTCAATAATTCGGATGCCGATGGGTGTAAAACTGATGAGTCGCGTTTCATTTTCTCTCTACGTTATGAAGATAGCCTCACTATGAGTAGTAGTGAGTGAGTGTGTCAATAATTCGGATTAAATTCATATTTCCAATGTTAAGGTACGGTGTCTGTAGTCTATAAGGGTTGCAAGGTCAACCTTCTAGGCAAATGTACGAAAAATTCCCGAAGGGAAATGCGAGTATTACTCAAACAGTGCTCCATAAAAGACTACAAGGAAAAGTGAAAGTTTCCTCATATGCAGGAAATGAACAACTGATAACCATTTCATATTCTATTAAATTTAAAGTTGTCCTTAAAAGCTATACAAACTTGTTTCTCTATTTCTTCAATGCATAAAAGAATTAACGGATTAAAATTTATAGTCTCTCGTTCAATTTGAACGAGTAGTAAGGTTGTGTTTGGCTTGGGATGAGGCTTTGAATCGCTTCGATACCATATCTGACTATTAGATTAAGATGGTAGGATGCCTTATAAGAACGGACCTGATTGGCCGACTCTTCTTCGCCTTTAGTTTTTGAGTGTCTTGGCGTATGCATGTACACAGTGTAAGAAAAGACATTTACTCTGGATTATAAGTTATAGCTAATGTGTGTGGAAAGAACAAGCTACAGGCAAACCTCAAACCCACAATATATAATTATAAATATTTTTCGAGATTTCCCAAGCTCATCGATCGCGATAATATCTATAGCGGGTTAGCAAAGTGTTTTTAATAAGATTTAGTGCCATTTCTTTTAAAGTCTCCTCAAGTTTAGTAATTTTTGGCTTTTGTGAACATAAGATCAGGTCCATTTTTTCACTAATGTTTCGCATGATTTTCGCGAATGTTTCCTCTAATTTCTTGATTCATTTTTGGTTTGAGTTTTAACTTGCACTTTTTTTGGGTTTGTGGGCGAACTACTCAAATTTTCATACTCCACGTGTGTCCATTAACTAAAAGTGTACACGAGAAGTGTTACTTTTTAATTTCAATTTTTAGAGCTCTGATCTTTGGATACAACTCAGAGCAGGTTTTCTGTCTATAGCATCTATATACAAAAACTGCCAGAAGGGTGGACGCACGCAGAAGCGGACAAGCTTGATTAAATCGATTCAGTATCTTAGTTTAATCCAGATCACATATATTTTCTAATTGTGACAAATGTAAGCACGAGCATTGTATTTTCCTATCCTTTGGGATGTGGGTATAGAAACTCAACGATCTTCTTCTTCTTTCTTATTTGGGTACACGATGATGTTATTGATAGTAAAGTTTGGAAATTTTGATTTTCTTCACTTTGCTTAATTGTTTTTAAAACCGAAATTAGTTGCTTTGAAAGCATATCACTGGCTTCAAGTTATGCCACGACAAGTCGTCTACGCTTATTAATCACTCGATAATGTTGAAACGACAAACAGAGAGCAGTATTTCACTTATTGGCTTACCAGGACTCAACTTGCAATTTCCGATCTCTACGCGTAAGAAATAACAACATTATTAACCGGCTGTTGCCAACTCCCTGTACCGACATCCAACTGCTGTCGCGTTCAAAAAATCTATGCCATTTTTAGACGTCTGTAAGACGGTGGATTACCTACTACGCTACATTTTTACTGTTGAAACTGTTCGGATGAGTAACTTTGTTTTTGTTGGGAAAAAAATACCTTTTGTACTCATCATTGGTTCGAAAAGCATTAATACTCCGCCCAAGACAATAGTTTGTTGGTAATGTGTTGATTTTAAATGAGGCCAAAGAGGCTACACAGGAGACGGCCAAACGGTATAGTTACATAGGCAAACATTAAGAAAACCGTGAAAATTATTCTCGATAGCGTTGGTACATCCACCCTATTCTACATATCTCGTCCTGAAAGAGCTGCTTGTCAAAGGCCAAAGCATGATAAGGTTTAAGCGGAGAGTGTTTTTAAAGGCCGCCGTTCTATAAAAAAGTCATCAGAATGTTAAACAAGCATTGAACTGATAGTGTCATCGTCCTTGGATGGGAGGAAGGAAACAAGGATTGCTGCTGAATAAGGTTGGATTTAAACACATATTCCTGAAATTTATTGACCAATATGTCATATTCAACTTTGCACATGCCAGTATAAAAAGGGATAAAGTGAACAAGAAAAGTCTTCGTACACAATTTAGACTTTTTTTCTAAGCAAGCAATTATTCTTCGTGAAATTAATTGCAAATATTTGCATTACATTGAAATGCATTAAAGTACATTCAACAGTGGTCGATGAATTGAACATTTAATGGATAAAGAAGAATTTACGAAACAATGCTCTTCTATTTTCTACTATCATTTATTTACGATATTTTGATAATGAAAAAGCAAGTAAACTCTACATATTTGTAAGCAACGTTGAATGATGTCCGTACATCCATGCCATGCTGCTGCCATGCATCCCGTAGAGCGTACTAAGATTCTGAAATTCTTAGAAGAGATCGATCGATAACACTTTGTTATATCTTAGTTAGTCTAATTTGAATCACTTTAATGCATTGATTTTAGGAATTCATTTCAAAAAGTATTCAACACCGGTAGCATGACAAATTCATATTTATTAGTAAAGCATATAGAAGCAGTCAATTATCTACATTGCCAGACAAACGGTAGCCAGCCAGACCAACTTAGTAGACATGATAATATAAATAAGCAAAAACCAAAAAAAAAAAAAAAAACAAAAATAAGAATAAAAACACAAAAACAATAACATGAACACAGACGTCTACGAAACATTAAAAACAAAATTATAATCACAGTAAAAACGAAATCATGAGTTTGGCTTTCATTTTTTTTTTTTTTTTCTATTTTTTTGAAGTTGCTCGCTCAGTGACTTTGACAAAGAAAAAATAAAATCGATTTTTATATGAATTTTTGTTAAAGTTTTACTTGCACTTACTGCTTTAAAATGCGGATCGGTTAGTTGAAAGTAATAGATTTTACGATTCTGCAGCTCCGGTCCATTATCGTTACGATCGATTATTTGAATGTTGAGATTTCGGCGAAATTCTTTATTAGCATTTGCTTCAAGTTGTATCGCACAGTTAACAACCACCGTTAGATTCGTTTCTATGGTACTGTTTAAAGATTCATAGTCTAACGGCTGGCGGGTAAGTAAAACGTTGTCTTGCAGCGTAAAGAGATCGCTGCCATTTAATAGCTGATACTTCAACTCCATGTAAGGACAAAGATACTTAGCCGCTCTTGGATTTAATGTACCAATTTTTCTTGGTCGAAATTCTTGTGTATTTTCGTGAGCTTCGTCTTCTAATATGATATAGCGAACGGAAGACCAATAGCATATGTTCTCCAAATTATTGCAATACTCTTGCTCCGTTAATGGTGAAATTTCAAGTGTCATGTGAGGTATTTTGAGAGTTTCATTGCCATCCTTTGGGAAAGCAGTTAAGGTATATCTAACCGATTTCTCTAAAGGCTTGTAATCATTTCGTATAAAAATTTCACCGCTTGTACCGTTCATCCTTAAGAGATCATTATTCTCCAAACTGTAGCTATAATCAGTAGCTAAACTGTTATTAGATGTCGCCAAGACTTGAAACTGTCCAATAGGAATTTTAGAAAATATACTTTGAGACTTTTCATTTATCGGCAAGTTCAGCTGCAAGGCGTTCATTGGAAAATAAACTTCATAAGCTGTAAAAAGGAAAGCTAGTCATTAGCTCCCGTCACTAGATTGAGATTAACATATTACAGCTGATAAGATTTGATAAGAATTAAAAAAAAAATAGATTACCATTCTTTTCATTTTTATACGTATCCCTGTAAGATGGGCGTATACTCATTTTGTTTTTTTTTTTTCAAAATATATGTTACATCCAAAAGGAAGCTTCAGACACCCTATAAAGTGTACATATTCTTGATCAGCGTGAAATTCTGAGTTGATTTAGTTACGTCTGCCCGTTTGTGTAAGTGTGTGGTTAGCACACTTCTGGAAATATATTATCTGCCTAAAAATGGGTACATTTTATGGGTTAATTATATGCGAAAACCATAGTGGCGGGTATGCGAGATTCGGCCCCGACGAATATGACTTCGTCTACCTAAAATCTTAAATTCCAGATTATGAAGTAAAATTAATACCTTCTAATTTATATATATACGTAAACGATGGATAAACAATGGGGAAAATTCTTAAAAAATCCGAGCTGAACGCAATCAGGCATTTAATCAAATTTAAAATTATATCAAAAGACTTGAACTAGTTGTTGTTGCATCACCTTCTAAATAGATATTATCGAAATCATTCGTAGCTGATAAGCATACGAGCCTTCATTCTCGCTATTTTTATACCCTACACCGCTTTTCGTACAGGACATATTCAGTTTGTGCGAAGATTTCTAATGTTCAGAAGGACATGGAAATGGTTCCCGGCTTGTCTGTTCGTCTGTCCTTTTAATGCCTGTCCATGTATTTTTATGCTTAAGCTATAGATCGCAATCTTCGATAAATGGATGATGGAATTTAATAAACTGACCTATTTTGGTCCAATCGGACCATTTTTTCGACCATTCCATAATCTGGAATTTTCAGAATTTTGCGAAATAAATCCCTGAGTTAGGTGTGAAAACTTTGGATCGAATAAATCAATTTTTTGAACCTTTTGCCTTATAACAGTTTCTACGTAGACCGCATCTTCATACGATAAAAAGCCTACCTTGCAGTGCTCCTTGATGAATACCCGTTCATATGGATGATTTGACTTAAAGATCAACTTTACCGAATTTGGAGCACAGCAGTCTATTTTTTGGACCGCATCACCTATGAAGGCCGTCATGAAAGCAAATACTTCTTTTGCGGTTTGTTATGGCGGAAGCAATTCGAAAATAATAAAATCCTTGACGAGTGAATTAAGTTTGCTAAATTTAGGCCACGTGGACGTTTGTGTATCGTCCAATTTGAGGGGTTTCATGAAAATTTTGCATTTAGATAAAAATGTATATAATTTTTGAGTGAAATGGTGTAGGATATCTATCTATCTAGTCGATCTTGCCCGACTATAGTCTTCTTACTTACTTTATTCTAACATTTCTGCTTCTTTTTGTTGCATTTACGCCTACTAGAAAAGTTATTCAATTTTTTTACCCAAAACTTTCATTTCATCGCCATGGAACATAATTCAAAAAAACTTGGCGAGCTTAAGGCTGAAAAGTGTAAGAGATTCAATGTAAACTAGTTGTGCTACTTATATTACACGTACCGTAAACATCAAATATGTTTTTCTCGAAAACGAGAGTTTCTGAGTCAACCGCTTTCGTGTTCAATTTTCATTCGATGGTTTTGAAATCGATTGACGCCTTTTTTTTTTTTCTTAAATCAATTTTTGAAAGCAGTCCTACGACATTCATTAGATTTTGAACTAAGATTTTGTAGAGGGTTTTTGAGGTAAAGTCTAGAGCTGTCTAGAGCTTTACGCAAAAGGAAGTCAGCGGAGAAGAAGGATCATTTCGCGAAACATGCTTTGCCTTCATTGCGTTTTTAAAAAGTCGAAGAAAAAACTTTTCACGTAACTGGTATATAAATTGGAAGTTGGAATTTGCTCATAGATGGCTTTAATAATAGATGTAGGGGACATACATGTCTGAAGTTCCGCTTCTTGGATATTTTGAATGTGTGACCTTCGCAGTTGTAATGCCAACACACGCATCCCCACGGGCAACAATTTTTTCCCTGGCGTTCACTATTTCTCAGGCAAGTAGGAAAAATGTGCATCTAGCGATTGGCAACATTTTGAGTAAAATATTATAATATAATGTACAATAATTCCGGTTTCGTATTTACTTTTGTGGACTTTTTGTTGCATGTAAAAAAACTCTGGTTAATAAATGTTTTTTTTTATAAACTTGGAAAAATGACCTTAAATTTGGTGAGCATGGAAACTTTAGAAATACAGCGGATACTTGGCTCTCCCAACCTGTTGTGTGTTTTGTATGCGGTACTCTTAGTTTAAAATGTGTCTGTCTGTCTTTCAGCTTGAGGTGGTGAAAAAAAAAACGAACTAATTATAGAAAGTTTATTATATAATTGCAGCAGGTGAAAATTTGTTTAGATGAGAAGCAAAGACATAAAACATACGATACATACCTAATGTAACACTGATTTGATGTTAAGCACCGTTAAATACATACATACATAGAGTGCACTTATGAGAACTTGGTTAATAATCATAATACATAAAGGACGATTTTGTATCTAATTAGGTCTGTCCTTGTATGCAAATCATTTGTAGCGATGTCGATGTATATATGTAAACATGAATACATTATGTTAGCATATATATGTATGTAAATTTTTTGTTGCTTTTTTAAATGCCTTTATTGTTTTACGATTTGCACAGACAATGCAATTAATATTCATTAAAAGGAGAATTGAAAGCACGGATCCTTGGTAAGGTCGCGGGAGCAGTAGAAAAATGAAAGCAAACACAAAATACTTTAACTTTACAAATCAAACGATGGCTGCTAGGAGAAGGACGTAGTTGTACCTATAAATGAAATATTTACAAGTAAAGTTGCAAGATTTATATTTGTACGTACATCTGCTGTCGTTGCTATTTGTGTTGTTGTTTTCTACTATTTTCTGTCATTTTCATACCCACCACCGAAGGATGAGGGGTATATTCATTTTGTCAAAACGTTTGCAACGCCCTGAAGGAAACATCAGATCAGCATCAAATTCTAAATCGATTTAAGCATGTCAGTCTATCCGTCTGTCCGTCTGTGTAATTTATATTGTAAACATTCTCCTGGCCGAAAAAATGCAGTTATCAAGTAGGTCTTGTAAGCAGGTTTGCATTGAAAATCGATCAAATTGGTCGAAGGACAACTACAACACGACGTAAACTGAAAACATTCCCGTTTTTCAAGGAGAACGAAAAATGGGCTTTTTGGTCATTATTTTGTAAATTATAGCAAATAAATGTCCATAAATTTAAACGCATGTTCTATGGGCGATCTGTGCACAAAAATGCAAAAAATTGACCACGCCTACCAAATATTATAGTGTATCAAAATTTAATTACTTTTTCCATACCTTTATAACACGCAAAAACAAGCTTCAAAAAACCTATAAATTATACAAATTCTTGGCCAGTTACAACCCTTGAATGCCCCTATACTTATTGGCCTGTTCGTCTGTCCATCTATCTGTTTTCGTAATTTTGTGGTATTTGTGGTAAACATTCTTTCGTTAGCGGAAATGAGATTTGAAAAAGAATTTGGCATTGACACGCCTACAACGCGCACATACCTCTACGACAAGAAATAGAAAAACCAACTGTGCTTACTCCATGTTATAGAGCACAAGAGTTGTGTTCTTTTATTTCCTTTTGTTTTTTTTTTTTGAGGTTGACGGTGATGGGTATAGGAGATTCGGTTCCGACCGAAATTAATTTTCTTTGTTGTTTCCTTTTCTTTCTTTACGAACGCCGAGAATTGTTGAATTTATTACATCATGGGATTTTGCTTTCTTTCCCTTTTTTTTTTTCTTTTAAGCAAATAATGGAATTACTGAGGAAAAAAAAATAAATTGCAATCTTTTGGCGTCATAATGTCGTAAAGCATTGAAGTTATACTTTTTTCATATATATATTTTTTCTTTATTTGTTATTACACATCATCATTATTATTATTATTGTTGTTGTTGCCCCTAGATGTCAATGGGGAATATCATCTACTTCAATATTACTATTACTATTACTACCATGCTCTGCTATTTTGTGACCAAGTGCAGCAATTGTCAACAAATAACTTCACGCACATCACTCAGGAATGGCGCTCACCACCACCGACCACACATATGCATACATTTCAGAGCAAAAAAGAGCCAAGAACAACAAAAAAGAAAGCTACACTTGCCGCGAAGCCGATACCGTTCATCTCAAATCCATATATTGCAATCAAAAAAGTTTTTTGAAATGCGGGCGTGTCAATTGGTTGATTGAGGGCACTTTTACTTTGGCCTTTTATAACAAAACTTAAAACCATATCTTTTAGAGAGTAAATCTTAACTGAAGTCCATTTTGTGATTAACTTTGAGGATACGTAGTAAGGAATACTTTCTTTGATAGTAGCCGGATCAGAAATTCAAATACTCAAACACGAGCATATACGGCATCCCCTTTGCGACACTTTGCGTTATAGCACGAATGGAGAGGAAAAGAGACGTTCACATTAGGGTATATATGGATGCATCTTCTTAATATTCATTCGACGCATATTTCTTGGCATTACAAAGGGAAAGATGAATTAAGCATATTTTTACTTGGTGGTGCGTATGAAATGCTCACTACGCTCCATTGTGCGAAGCTTGGCAACTACGCAGCTTAGACTTTACTATCGTAAGCAAAACGATGAACTGTAGACTCGATTTAAATGAATTTTCAACTAAATGTCGACCGAGAATAGTAATGTATGTGGTCTCTGATAGGAAATTCTGGATGTTAGAAAGAAACAGACAAGTTTAGTGTATTCCCTGCCGTGATACTTATAAAAGAAGAAATCGATCATAGAAAGAATCGTTTAGGACTCATTAGTGGTTATTTAGGACGACTAATAAATAATTGTTTAAACTAATGAAAACTCATAGTTAAGCACCCTATCTGAACGCTACTCTAGTCATAGCTATGCATACTACGC